TGTTTGGAATAGTATAGCAGATTATACTTAGGTACTAATAAAATGACTAAATGATGTTAGACTTAGGTATTAGAAAAATTTTATGTAATTTGTATAGTTTTAAGAATTCTAATAAAGTACTAGCATGACTACTTAAGTTTAAAAAAAATAAATATAGTTAAAAATAATAGTTAAGATAAAAAATTAGCTTTAAGCATTTTATAAGCAAATTTGCTTTTAAACAGTACTTTTAAGGCATTAAAATATTAATATCTACTTCAAATTAAGCTAAATTATAATTTTTTTTAATAAATATGTTTTAAATTATTATAAATAAGTTTAAATAATCTTATTAAAAAAAATAATTATAAACTAACAAGTAAATTAAATTAAGCAGATTTTAAGCATTTTAAGTAATTTAATATTACTAATAATAATAATTATTAAAACATATTAATAACTTATAAAATATAATTATTTATATATATTTAATAAATTAAAGTTAAATATTGTTTATTTTATTCTTATTAATTATATAATTTTTAACCAAATTCAATAATATAATTTTTTGCTTAATAATTAAAAATTATTTTTATATTATAAAAATATTAAATTAGAATAAAAAAAAAATGCATTAAAACAAGTTATAAACAAAAATAAATATTTAATTAACTATAATGATTAAATTTGTTCATATTATACATTTTTAAAAAGTAGATTTTTTATTTACAAATATTTTATTATTTTATTAAAATAATAGATAATAATTTTTTATAAAGTACGGTATAAATTATAATATAAATTTATATTATAATATATTAATATATTAACTTTAAAATTATAAATTTTCTAAAATAAAACCTATTTATTTATATCTAGAACTGATTATATAATTTGAGAACTAATTAAAAATCAAGATTTTATAACAATCAATTTTACAAATTTATGTTACAAAAATACTAATATATTTTTTTATATTAATACTAATAAAACTAATAAAATAATGTATAAAAAAAGATTTTAATAATAATAAAAGTAAGATTAAAACTGTTATATAGTTATTAAAAATATTAAATAAAATATATAAAAACTATATTTAAAATAATTTATATAATAAAACATTAATAATACTATATATTTTTACATAGACAAATATTCTATAAAAAAAATGTTGAATCAAATTTTAAACAAGTTGAACAGATAGTTAATGATCTAAAAAGTTTTAAAAATATAAAAAAAGTTAGAAAAACATAATGAAAAAAAATAAAAATATTTTTTATTAAAAATAACAACAATTTGTATAATTTTTTTTCCTAGCACATGTAAAAAATAAGTAATTTGTCAAAGTAACCAATAAATTATTAAATTATGTAAATTTATTTCTTTGTAAAAAAAATTCATAATATATATATGACCAACTTATTCAAAGTTAATGCTTAAATTGTAATATAAGTAAAATTTTTAATATAATTTGCAAATATATAATAAAGAGACATTAGTCAAAGAAAATTTAAGCTCGATTACATAACTTTTATTTAGAAGGATACTAGAATGGTTTTTGGCAACATCTAAAAGTCATATGGTTGCTGTAAATAGAAATCAGGCAGATTGACATTTTTAAAAAAATTCAATACCTTAACTTTCATAGCTCATATTCCTATAAATTTTAATGTTAGTTTAATTATTTAATAGTCAAAAGAAATCTCGGATCCTAAGCTTTCTTTTGAATATTAAGTAATTAAATTAGCTTCAAATTCATCAAAGTATGAGCTATAAAAGTTAAGGTATTGATTTTTTTAAAAAAATATCAATCTGCCTAATTTATTAATGCAAGCCCATATAGTTATAAAGAAGAAAATGCCAATAACATGCGATCTACCAAACCAATTTGAACAATACTACCACTTTTAGAACCGGAATAACTTGATCTATAATCTTTGTTAGAAACTCAAGAAAAGTTTACTCGGCATAAAAAACTTTCATTGTAAGCTAACCCTATAGAAAAACTATGTTGACTTCTGGAAATTCCTACTATCAATTTGCTAGCTTTGCACCCTTTAACCGCGATTTACATCTTAATTTTCGTTCACAATTCCGGTGTTTTACTATAGATCTTCGCGGTTGTACACGAAATCTAAGTATTCGACTATCGGATATGAACCTCATCTCATATCCATAAGATGTCATACACTTTCCATCTTTGTATCACTAATCTTACCTTTATAGTATTAGACTTAACGTTAATGCATGCAATCACGCTCAATCTACAGCATAAACGCTCAGATCTCAACGTTGATGCGTAACGCTAAAATCTTAGCGCTGATATCATGAGGAATTAGAATATATTTAAAGGGTTGCTCTCGCCTTTAGTTCATCACTTAATATACGCTTTCTGAAATCGTCCCTAAATAAAGAATACATAAACATATGTCCTTTTATATAATAAATGCCTACTAATACAATCCCTAATTTTTCATCAGATTCCCGCGTCAACAATCGGGGTTAAACTCGGCATGATTGTCGGAAGCTCTCTCATTCGATGGTATGACACTATATATTTGATTTTCATAGTACATTTAATACTCCAACTAAATGTGCAGAACGTCGTAACTGAACAAAAAAAATTTGGATCTTGACCGCAGACAAAATACTGAATAGAATTTTTTAACGCTAATCGCTTGCTTTTGAAAATAATAAAAGTGTGAAATAAAGGGATAATATGTATGATTTTGAAATAATGCTCAAACTAATGCACATAATATATAACATATTGGTAAATTTAATAATAATACTGTATTTTAGACTTGGTAGTTGACCTTTTATTTCGAAATATCGCTTATAGGGTATTCAAAATAATCAATCAACACACAAGAGTTAGAAATAACGCGCACAGATGTGCATTATTTCGCGAGAACGAAATTATGTTTAATGGATTCACTTCAATAAATTACAAGATTTATTCAATAGATGTTATTCTGCTTTGATCGGTTTAGTATGTGCTTTAAACTCTCCCAAACATTGTTCTAAAGCACATATGCACATAAAACTGGGTCTTGAACCATGCTTATGTAAACTCACTAGTAGTACACTGCCTGATCACGTTAGTTTAATTCACATTTATATTAATTCATTTTTAATATCTTATTCGCAATATAAAGCTCGACTTTTCATTTAGGTATCCAGATGATCGTATCTATAGGATAAACCTTTGAGAATTGATTTATTAATTCGATACGTAACTGTTTTGAATTTTAATGCATGTTAAGATATTATCATTTTCTGTCACTATCAAATAATGCAAATGATGATACTGTAATAATAATAAAGTAATTACAGGTTACCTTCGTTAATATCAACCTATTTGAATTGGTTTTAAATCATGTTGATAGTGATATTAATGAGAAATCATATTAAAGTTGACATATGTGAGGGAATTTTGATATAGAAAAATTTATAAATATTTTCCATGTGGCTTAGGTTGATATTAACGGGTTGATATTGACGAGGGTGACCTGTATTAGTAAGGCAAAGCAATTAAGAACGTTATAATTGCAAATTTAAACTTACAGTATTTGATGCAATATTAGTCAGTTATAAAGTTAATACGTATTGATTTCGAACTCGATTTAAGTACAAATGTTATAATCAAATCATGCAGTTCAAAAAATTCTTACTTTACTGGTTTAGTTTTGAAAAGAAACGAACCAAGTTTGGGTAAACAGAACAACATCATAATTTATTCGCACCACAACCATAACGATAAATTGCATTGCTGCCGGGTTATGTATGTCTTTTAATTGGTATATATTATTATATGCACTGTATGTAGGCAAGCTTACATAATCCTTAATACCAATGAAAAAATCGCTCGTGCACTTCATGCTTAAATTTTTGGTTTTTTAATTGTTTATTACGATATTTAGATGTTGCACATGTATATACTGTATATCCGATATGCTTCTATATTTCCGATTCGCTATAACCATATAACTGATAAAAAAAAATAAAATAAAAAAAGATGTAAAGTATAGCTCCAGCGAAGATACAAGTTAAAATATGATTTATAGGTCTTATATGATAGTATAATTTTAATGGGGAATTTGTTACTTAAAGATTCTGGTGTGATAATGATAATAATGTAGGTAATATATACTTAACATTAAAAATGCATGGCAGTTTCATGGTAAACAAAGGACGATCGTGTGAAATAGGTGTCCGAAACAAGTTCCTTTTAAATTAAAATATAACAAGTTTCGTCAATAATGCATAAATCGGCATTGTTTTAAAAAACGTTATCAGGGTTGAGTTTGTTTGTTTCAATATTGATATTAGTCTATTTACATTCAATTTCCATTATCCTTCATTATAATATTGTAACAAAGACTTAAATGACACCGGGTGAAGAGATTGGTTACAGTTTCAGTGTTAGTTTGACTCATACCAAAATAGGCCTTAAAGTCCTTAAAAAAAATTTTATACCAAATTTTTACCTATTTATATGGGACCAGTTGCACGAAAATGACATAAAATGACTATACAGTGCTTTCAAAGGTTACTAAATTAATTTTATTATTTATTCTGTTTTTGCGATCGCTGTCATCATGCCAAAATTAGTATCACCCAAAAAAAGACATATAAATATTTACATCTCGACGTCCACAAAAATACATTAGAGTTTTAAACCTTGATCCGTAGCTTGTCACCTGTTTCTTCCCATACCTTAGTTCTCCAAAATAAATGTCCTTTTGTTAATGTCCTTTCTATTCTTTAAAATATTCCTGTAACCAAAAAAAAAGATAATTTTTTTTCTGGCCGTGCCAGTCCAGTGCTGAAAAAAAAATAATTAAAGCTTTCTATAAGCTTATACCAGAGTTTAGTTAAAACGAGACTTATTAACTAGCTGTAGATCGGCATTCGATACGATATAATCTATATATAATATATAACTTATTTATATATCTATATATATATTCATCATATTCTTTCTAAGTATACTTACAGATTAGCATAGTTTATCAAAAATGTATCTAAAATCAACTCATTCAGTTCCTCCCGAAGGTGGTCATGAGTGGGAAATCACTTTATTCTGCAGCACTGAAGCAAACACAATAGCTCACGTTGACATGTCTCCGAAATCTCGAGCTTCAAAAGTTGTCCCTAATGATGCTAAGCCTGCCCCGACGGCGTATTCCATGAAATACATTTGTTCAAAGTTTGAGAATCCCCCAATGAAGTTTAGTGCCGTTATAACGTTTAAAAGCAAAAATAAGAAAGTAAAAAAGAGAATTTTAAAAGTACCTGCTAATATAGCTACGGACAGAAAAAGAAGGAGAGAAGATGGGTTTGAAGATGAAGAATATGAAGAAGGTGAAGAAGAAGAAGAAGAGCAACATACTGAGGCGGACGAAATATTAAATGAGAAGGTGCCATTGCCTCCTCCTGCTCCAAAGAAAAGGAAGAGAGCTTTATGTAGTGTGTTTTCGAAAAACAAATCCATCTCGGAAAAGGATGACGCTCCGCAAAGTTGTTGTTGCATCATCATGTAAACTAATTATTGTATGTTTTTACTTTAAAAAATTCTTTTTATTTTTTTTACCAACTAAATTAAATTCTCACTCTCTTACGAATCTTTAATTATCTAGTTGGTTATTCGGAAAAAGGACATTTTATTGTTCCAATTGACGAGCTTTTAAATTAATGCTCTTACAAATCATATTTTATTGTATTATTAAGGACTCCCATATCGTTCTTTATTTGTTCACAGTAGATATACTTCATTTTATTTCTTCCCATATTCATATTGTCACTTATTATCCGTATTGTACACATCTATTAATAATATATATCATAAATTTTCGTTTATTAATGTTTATTAATACAATCAGTATTAATATTTTTTAAATAGCAATTATAGTCTTTTGCATTAATTTTTTACATACTAAGGAGTAATATGTCAAATATTATGTAACCTTTCTTACCATTTCTTGACAAAGAAAAAAAACAATAGTGTAAATCAGGCCTTTCGATTTACGTCCCCTATAATAAATTACGAACTTTCACGTATCCTTGTCTTCAAAATGCATGCGTCTTTATCTTTAACTCAATGAGAAGGCCAAAGTTCCATGTAGGTTTGGGTTATGTGATTCTTTACATCAGTATTTGTAAAGCTTTATTTAGACACTTCTTACAATACTATATATGGTCGTCTAAAATTCCAACGTTAATGCACCTTCCACTGCATAATCAGTCATGTAATTTATTATTCACATTTATTAATTCTCAATTAGCTCATTTTGGCAATAAATTTATTAAACACATTCGCATGTGGGTGTGAAATCATATTGTTTTATGATTAATTTTCGTGAACATACGTAAAATTACTAAAAATTGCTTCACCAAAAAGCCAAAAGAATATTTGATTGAAGAGTTTGGAACCAGCTTTATTTTTCTCTGCTATAAACCGATTAAACCCGGGTTTGATATCTTAAAAATAAAGCCGGTTTCAAACTCCAGCACTAGCAACTGAATAATCCCATGTGTACATGATCAGATTATATAATAGAATAGTTTATTATTTTCTTTATTGAAATAAGTAGTGACTGAAGTGCACTGATTTTTAACAAAAGTATTTTTAGCATTAAATAAATTGTCAAAAATTTAGATTCGATAACATTGGTCGTACTAAGTTAATTAATTGAATAGATTTAGTCATTAGTCTTAAAAACTAACAATCAAGAAATTAGGGAAATTAGGTAGAACGATATTAGAAAATAATTTATCATAAATGAGATACATTTTACATGTTTTACTATATAACCATAGGGTCGCGAAACATTAATGCTGAAAATTTAATGGAACTTCTACTAATTATCCAAAATCCGGTTCTATATCAACTTCACAATGGGCTTATTTTTGATTGTTGGATATAAGTATCTATATATCTTAATGCCTTGACATGTAAAATAAGCTTTTTAACTATAGTATCAAGAAAGGGACAATAGATATTAGAATAATCACCTCTACTTAGTTTGAACGAATTATATCCAATACAAATCTGTAAATCCAGTAAAATCAAAATTGATATGAAGCTTTGAAAATTTACCACTCGTAATATTATATCCAACATTCAATTATAAACTCTTTACATAAGGTCATCTGGGTCAAAGAATAATGCGTCTTTTAATGCACTAGAGAGTTCTGAATTCAACCATTTCAATAAATTTTTATAGTTATAAAATAAAAACCTAAACTTAAAGTTTAGTTCATGAATAAAAACCTTTGTGTTTGTCACGGGTTAATTTGTAATCCTTAGCATTAACGATGTAATAGATAATGATGTATTTGTCGCAGTATAACAACCAATCACTATCGTTATCATGATCATTAGTAATTTATTGTGCCTGTAAACTATATCGTACTGTAGTCAGGAGCAAATTCTTTGACCCCAGCCAATATAGGTTATCTTTAGAATATATTTTTGACAAAAATTCACATTCTTAAACTCTTCTGATTTTGCTTTCAATTTCAGTGATATATTCTTTGTGAAAGAATCAATTAGTGTATCTTTATTCTAGACATCGTTGAATAATTTGTAGAACGTTATAATCACCATACGCTGTTCTTCTGTTATATACGAAAATTTCTTTAGCTGGTCTTTCGATCAAGTACATCTCTATTTCACATTTTGTAATAGCAAAATATCAGTAGTGTTAGATATTGACCATCAAGAACTGGAGCTTTTACCTCAACAAATAAACAGAAGCGTACAAAGTAGTATCAGAAGATACTGTGCTTGACCTGTAAAATCACATGAAAGTGAAAAATTCGTGGAAACACTAGAGAAGATTCAGTGCGTAGTACATGACATAAAATATATTAAGTTTATCTGTCATCTCACATGAAGCACATCTTTAATTAGTACATATTTCCGTTGAATGTGGGACCATGCCAGTTAATTTTAGAGACATTAATTAAAATGTATTGGTTATCTGCATAATTTCACTATACCTATCGACGTTAAGTCCTTTCCTAACTATAATTATATTCTAAAATTATGTTATTCTCCTTTTATTTTCCATCCTTTTTGTTTTACTTGATCCGTTTTTTGTTTTAATTGATTCGCTTTTTCTTTTATTTGGTGTTGGAAAGCAATCCGCTTTAATGATATCTTTGAGAGTTGTTCGCCGAACATCCTGACCATCATTCAATATTTCCGAGATAAGATCCTTTTCCTCAAAATCCTCTTTTTCTGAAGTCTTCGGTTCAATTAGTCCAAGTATTTTTAAATTGTTTTCGATTGTAATCTAAAAAGATTGCATTTGTAATTTATATAAAAGCAATGAAACGAATCTATTTATAAATTTTACCTGGCTTCGCACAATTGCTTTTAAAAATTTAAGAAAATCCAAAATGCCTGCTCGAGAAAAATGGTCTGAGATACTGTAAACATCATCTCTAGAAAAGATACATACAGATCCTCCAGCTTTCCACAATCGTGCAAACTGAATGTTATACCGAAAATGTAGAATGCCAATAGCTACCAGTTGATTCACTTTTTCATTAGCGCATTGTCTTGTTCTAATCATATCAACCAAAATATCTTTCAAAGTCTTAGGCATTTTAAAATATTCTGTAAGATATTTCTTATCACCATAGTTAACAAAAGACTTTGCGGCTTCTATTGCAGCTAACTCTAAATTGTAAGTTGGATGATGAATAATTCCATCAATTTTTCTACCGGTCAATTTTCTTTGTTTAAATTGTCTAGCACGATTTTTTCTATTTGCTGAGGCAGTCGATAGAGCATCTGTCCTTTTTATATCTGTTGACATTCTTGGATGTCTCATCAAAAAATCAAAACAAATTCCAAATAGATTAACTGTAAACCAGTCTTCATATTGTTCTCGGCACAAAGGGAAAGAAAGATTTTCATAAAGGTTGCATAAATGTCTTAAAGTAAGTTGAATCCATTCTTTTATATAATGCTCTTTTGGATCGTAAACTTCACCTTCTTTTAGAAAATTACACATAACTTCTTGGCGAAGTTCTATAAGATTTTCCTTCATATATTTAGCCAGTTCTTTTCCAACTTCATATTCGACAGATGGTAATAAAGGTTTTTTAGTAAGTTCTGTCCAATCATCTTCACTGAACAGTGCTTTTACTTTTTCGTCATGATCACATATAATATAAGAATGTACATGACTATAATTTATTTAGTACATTAAAATAAAAAACATAAAATTAGTTAAATTAAAAATAAAATTACTTCTCATAATCCAGATCTTTAGCGTATTTATATAAAACATCTTCGACAATTGTTTTTGAACTTAAAACAAGTTTTGATTCTGGTGGTATTTCTTGAAAAATTTTTTGAAACCGTTTTTTATCATCTATAGTCATTTTATTCTCATCTTTAAGGTTTTCTTCTTCTTCCGCATTATCATAATACTCATCATCCTCATATTCTTCATTAACTTTGATAAAATCATCAAAAGAGTTCTTATTATGATCTCTACTTTCAAAATCAAATATTTGTTTGTAAAAACTAGAAATCTAAATATAATACATTAGCAAAAATATAATATCAATCGAACTACTATAAATAACAACTAAAATTCTTTCAATATTACTTTACCTCTTCATCGTTATTTTGATCTGATGTTAATCAAATATAAAAATAAATAAATTTAATGCTACTGTATTTTTGCGTAATAATGCCCATGAGTGTTATCTCGAGTTTTGGCCTGAATTAAGCTTAATTTAGACCAAAATTTAAAATTACACCTCTGTGCGTTATTATGCAAAAATACGGTAATATAACTTACTTATTTTGTAATGAGGTTGCTCCGGATTCACTTGTTTCAGGAAAAGTTTTTAAATAACCTCTAGAGGTTATTTGTTGAAAATTTTGATTGCAAGCAATACCTAAAAAATCCATGCTTGTCGAAAGATGTATTCTATTTGTTTGCATCTGTTTTATAAAGAAATATGTTATTTATAATAATATAAACAATGCAAATTTATTTATAAAATAAAATTTATAATACCTCTTTCCGTTCATAAATAATTCCTTCCCAATAAATCTGAAAGGTTTTATTTGCACGTTCAGATCTTACCTATTAAAAATACAATATAAAACTATAAATACAGTATACTGTATTTATTAAAAATAAAAACTCAAAATATAAACAATCGCAATGTAGTAGCTGAGGAACAGCCCAATGCTTCTATTTATGATTTAGCAAAATAGAAGTGCTACTAGTCATCACTCGGGTTGGGGATTGGCCAAATACTCCAATCATGATAGAGCAGACAGGAGCTCCCTAAAAAAATATAATAAAAATGTATAAAATACATAACTTTATTTACTATATTGTTAAAATTATCTGGATCCAAATTTCTTGCTTCAACAAGAAATCGATTAACCCAACGTCCATCAAGATGAAACCATTCATTCAAAAAAGGCGGCAACATAAGTATCTTATTTCGTTGAGTAGCCAAAAATTCAGCATATGACCATGTTGTGCTATTTTTTAAGTAATGTATAATATCTAATATATTCAAAAATTAATTAAAAAGGATTCTTTTATTACTTAATAATCTTACAATTTACCTGAATAACCAGGATAAGGTTCTATATTGTTACTTGTCATGATGTTAATATACAAAGAATTGTATTAAATGTAATTATTTGGGCAAATAGCCAAGGGCGAAAAAGCAAAGAGGGGATTAACGCGTTCACTTATTTGTGAATCCAAAAAAGGAAATTAGACAACCAGAGAATCCGCCCCGTTTTACGGGTCATGTGATGATCTACAAAATAACTTAATATTCAGTAAAATTAGGATTAACGTCAAAGTTAATGTTAGAGTTAGGGTTAGAGCAAGATTTTCATAGTAAAATTGCTTAAGGAATTTTTTATTAGAGCATAAAGACCGGTTTCTTATGCAAGTTCGTGAGATAAAGGAGATTTTTGGCAAGTGAACGTTTGTTTTGAATTTCTTGATTGTGTTACGTTACAACAAATTATGATTTATCATTGGTTAATTTGTTGTTGATCATCACATAACCCGTAATTTTCGTGGTCGCCCTGGTGGACTCCTAGCATGACCACCAAGATCAGTTATGTAATCTGTATTTAAAATTTTGATTAACGATTTTAAAAAATTCTGAATTTTATCAAAAAAAAGCAAAATTTCAAGTTAATAATATTCTACGTATCTAATTAATATAATTGAAAATATTTATTGTTACAGAAATACTTTAAACAACTTTGATTTCCTGGTATGAAAAAAGCGTTCAACATAATTCTTTATTTAAGGCAGTAAAATGTACTTTATTTCTTCTATTCTATGTCTTTGGAAGTCTTTTCGCATGCTTCTATCATTTATTATTTTTTAAAATTTTTTTTTACTATAATCAAAAGACTTTTCAAGATTATGTGTATGTCCAATAACCTCTATATAAACAAAGTACAATTATTATACTATATATTATACATTATAAAGGTCTTTTTTATAAATTTTTGCAATTTTTAGTTTTAGAATTTGTCTCATCCACTTCAGCTATATTATTATATTCAGAAATAGTTAAATTCATATTCAAATAATTAATTGGTATTAATGTATATATTATCTCTTATTTAGTTTGTTTAGCTTCTATAATAAGAAAATAATTCAAATTTTATTGAACCCAAACTATTAGAATTTTAATTAATGAATAATAAATAAATATATTTTTGAAAAATAAACATTTATTTTCCAAGAGAATCAATAAAAAAAATTGCTTATTAAAAAATAAAAACAAAGAAAATGCATTGCTTATTATTTATTAATGTTTTTCTATATTTTTGATAATATGTGTATTAAAATATTCTACTTTTTTAAAAAATCATCATGTTTTGTACTTTCTAAATATATGCTTTTTTTTAATCATTTAATACAAATCTTTTTATTAATATTGGTTTTAGATAAATTAGTTGATTTTTAATATATAGCAAAAAAATTTTCTTTAATATTTAAATATAAAAAAAAGAAATTTTGTTCAGATTATTTATATATTAATAATAAAGAAATTGTTATATTAATTATTAAAACTCTGTATATAACTGATCTTGGTAATCATGTTAGGTCTATAATAGTTATGCTAAATTCATAATAGAATCTATTAGCTAAGTTTTTTTTTTTTTTTTTTCTTTCTAAAGTCATACTTGTGGCAATACTTTAATGACTTTATATTGGGTTAGCTATTACAACTATTTTTACAGAGATGAGAGTAGAGCTAGTCACGCATGCAACTTTTGGTTGCCTATTTAAGTAGTCTGCTCTAAGGTTTTACACTAGATGCTGTACATATAACCTACTAGAAGATTATTCATTTAAACCTTCTGATTATTTGCTCTGTCATATTAGAATCTCTAACTAACCCTCATCTATACCTACCTGGTATACCATTTGAGCAATATGGTACCTATCCTTTTTATACTGATTTCTAGGCTGTTATACATTTCAAAGTACGTCACCTGCCAGTAAGATGCAGGAGGCTCCTCATTGTTAACTATCTACTTACTTTTAGAACACTAACACAGGCTACTCTTACAGAGTTCACCCAGACCCTAGTACTAACTTTATAGCATATCCCTAGTACTTTTAGTATACCTCTGCTTTGAATCCAGACTTCTAATTTAGATAGCCTAGAAGGACTGTGACCTGTCCTTGGTATATTGAGGCCAGCCTAATATCTTTTTTCTCTGGTCCAAAATTTGGCAGTCTGGTTGATGATACCCCTCATCTGAGGTTTTTGCCTACTCGAATTCTTCATATTGGTATCCATTTTCTAGGTCTAGGCTTTATAATAGTATTGTCAAAGATCCATGTTATCTCTTTACTCAGAATTTTCAAGTAGGCTCTGGCTTTCTAGTTCTACAGATTTACATGGCCCAAGAACTTATTTTAGGTTTGCACTGCTCAGTACCAGTTTGCATTCCTCTCTGTAACAGGTTACACAGATGCCCCAGACCTGCCAGTCATGCTAGTGCAATCATAGTTACAGATATTCTATCTTAACTGATCAGCAGAATGCTGTTACTGTAATATCATCTATATATTACATAGGTGATTATACAAATTTCACCATTAGTGGGTTTTGAACTCACAACCTACTACTTGGGAATATGACAACTTATTCACTTCACTAAGTCACCAACCCTTATTGGCTAAGTTATATTGATATATCTGTAATAATTAGCCAATCAGATTATATAATTTAATTGAATAAATTCATAATATAAATAAAACTTTATATTATCTACTAGTAAAACTTATATTCTATTCTTAATTAATTATCTTTTATTAATTATACAGTAGCTTATCATATAAGTGTAAATAAACACTTTTTAAAAAATTATAACAAGTTAATTAAAAAAGATATCAAACTAAAATTATATCATAAATTTATTAAATCTAGAACTTTTAAATAAAAAAAAAGATTATAATATTTTATGCAGTACTTTTTAAAATAATTAAGATTAAGTAAAAAATTAGATTTTTATAAATATATAATTTACTAGTTTTTAACAATTTTTTTTTTTGGTTTTGCTAAGGCTGATGTTTTTAGTAACTACTGTCTTTATTTATATTTTTAGTCAATGCATTACATTTAACTTGTACAAGATAAGTATGCAACTAGTCATATATATAACTTTTAGTTACTTATTTAAGTAGACTGCTTAAGGATTCTATACTAGTTGCTATATCTGTAATCTACTAAGAGATTATCTATTTAAATACTCTGATCCTTATATTACACTCAGATGAGTAACACCTAGTTTCTATACAACTAAGTGCCATCTAACCCAACATGTAATCTTTTCTTTTGTATATTTGTTAGACTATTACCTATTTCAGAACATGTTACCTAATTTTAAAGACTAAGATACTCTCTTGTTAACTATCTATTTACTTTACAGAATATTAACAAGACTAGTTTTTGTAGAGTTTACCTAAACTTTAATACTAACTTTATAGCATATCTTTAGTACTTTTAATATACTTTTGTTTTGCTTTTAGACTTCTAATTAAAATAGTCTAGAAGAACTATAATCTGTTTTTGGTATATTAAGCTAAACTAATAATTTTTTTTTTAGTTTAATTTCAGTAGCCTAATTGGTAATACTTCTTAACTTGGGGTGTGGTGATCTAGTGAAGTGGTCAGGCTGTCAACCCCCCAAGTGGTAGGTTGGGTGTTCAAATCCCATCGATGGCGAAAATTTGGATAATTACCTATGTAATATTCATATTACAGCAACTGTTACTAATAATTGGGTTAGGATACCTGTAATGGCGATCACACCAGCATGACTGCAGGTCATAGGGCATTCATGTAACAGGTCACATGACATTGTCCTTTGGGACAAGGTTGTAGTTATACAAAGAAATGCAAACCAGCAATAAATGGTGCAAACACTAGATAAGTCCTTGTAGTTGTGTAAATCCATTGAAATTGGGTAACAAGAAGTCCATTTGGGAAGACCTGAGTAGAGAGATAGCCAGATCTTTGATGGCCCTACTGTAAAGGCTAGTCTTATGAAACAGATACCAAGGTTGAAGTAGCCGGACGTGCAAAAACCTCTAGGTGGAGAGTACTACCAACCAGGCCGCCGGATCGAGCCAAAGGAAAAGGATATCGGGCTGATCTGATATAATAATAGACTGGTCATAAGTCCTATTGGGCTATCTGGATTGGGAGTTTGGTGAACCGGCAGGAGTATACTAAAGTATTTTGGATATGCTGTAAAGTAGATGCTGGGGTTTGTGTGAACTCTACAAGGGCATAGCGGTTTAATGGTCAGTCCTGATCGCAAGTGTTGGTTCTGCCATAGCGATACCTAGGTTAGCTATAAAAATGGGTACAGAAGGCTCTGGGGGGTTTATCTT